GTCTTTTGTGGAGGTTGTCATCTTGATACAGGAGAAGGCTTTGCTGCTTCATGTGAAGGCCGTCCTCCCTAGATTACATGTGAAGGTAATGTTCCAAAAGCAGCAAGAAAAGTTCAAACAATACAAATCTACAGAATGAAGAAGAAACAGGGAAATGCTTGCACAGCAGGTCCTCAAATAGAGCTTTTTATCCAGCAAGGAGAACAGAGAGCAGCACAGTAGTGGCATCACCAACACTAGCGGTGCAAGCTACAATGTCCTAGCAGTACCAGTGCACAGGAAGCTCTGGTATTTTATTTTCAAGACAAAAGGTACATTTTTTTTTATTTTTATAAATTCAGCTCCACGTTAAGACAAATTGGGAAACTCCAAAAGGGCTGATACTTTTTGTAAGGCAGTGATTTTGCGCCTTCAGCATTAAACAGGTGGTTTTATTTTTCTGGCTGGTAGTCCAGGTAAGAAAACGTTGAGACCGTTCCATGCTTACTCTATAGAGCACCTTTTATTAGGGTTTCCTCATTAAGCGAAGTATGCCAGACAGAAATAAAAGGGTTATGAATTAATCTTCACCCTTACATTAACCCCTTCGTGACTGACGACGTACAGTGTACGTCGCCAGCATCGGGGCTGTTTAAACAGACTGTTTAAACTTGTAGAGCTGACTGTCGGCTTTACAACAGAAGCGATTCTGGCGACTTACCTGTCGCCAGATCGCTTCTGTGTCCCGTAGAAGGGGCCGCCCCCCCGCCGGACACCGCCGCCGTGCTTCCCAGGCTCCTCCTACGGGACCGGTGTCCGCGGGGAGCTGGGGAGGAGGTCGACGAACTTCCGTTCATCGATCCCCTCCCCGTTCTATGGGACCGGGAGCGCTGCAGATTGCATCACTTCCGGTCCCTGGGCTGTCAGTTCTGGGCTCCTGCAGCCCAGCTATAAGCTATTGAAGTGCGATCTGCACTTTAATAGCTTATTTCCAGTGTAAAGGTGACACTGGGGGTCTTTTGGACCCCCAGCATCACCTTTTAAAGAGTACCTGTCACCACCATCTGCTATCACATGGGGTGGCTTGTAAGCCCCCCCATGTGATAGCAGTCAAAGTAAAGTAAAAAAAAAAAGTTTTTTACATTAAAATGAAATACAATAAATCTAATAATATTAAAAAAAATTAGTCCCCT